TAGGGGCTCCTGGCCTTACTACTAGGAGCAAGGACGCTACTAGGAGCAAAGGGCATCGCTACTGGGAGCAAGGACGCTACTAGGGGCTCCTGGCCTTACTACTAGGAGCAAGAAGCTACGTACTAGGTTCCTCCTCAAACCGATGGGACTAGATGGAACCAGGCGCATCTCAGACATGTCACCGGCCATTGAGCTGAAGTCATTGGAGAGGCCGTGCGGATCGGTGATGTGGCCTTGCTAGTAACTTGCTCCCAGAACGAACGCAGGGAGGAAAGGCCAAAACCCATACAGTACAATGCCGTACAACTCCCAAATCATTCATCAATCAAAGTCATAGATGGCCTCAAACTCAAAAAGTTCGTTGCACAACTGATGTTTTATGACCTAAGTTGTCTCCGTGCGCAGTTGCGGTGGCTTTACCGAGATTGATGCTATGCGCGCTGCGCAGCTTTACCAAAATGCTCTCTGTATATTAAAGCTTCCAGAAGGAACGTGCCATCGAGCAAGCGGCTGGCTCTGGACTGAGAAGAATCAAGGCCCACACTCCCACCGTAGGGGTGGCGCATGTGCCCGCCGAAACAAAGCGTGTGACCTGAACAGGGTAACCACAGGCAGCAATTCTGGTGACATGTGAGCAAAACTGTGCAGCAGAAGAAAAAGACATACAGTAAGTCTCTTGTGTTGGTAGTTCAGTTCTATAACAACCTCAGCACCCCGGCAACGGAGTATCTATCAAATATTTGAACAATGGAACGCCTGAATTCCAATCAAGATAACACATACCCAAGACTTGAGGTCAGTTGAAATGGGCACATACAAGGCCGGCCAACGCGGACCTTCCAAACACTAAACAAAATTGAGAGCCTGTGGGGGGCTCTGCAAGGACACAGCAGGGCAGGTCACCTTGGTGCCAAGGATTGAACATCTTGGAACCCTTTTCCCTCGCCGCAAGGCGATCGCCGGTGAATCACATGTCAACATCACCATACAAGAACGCAGGTGGATTTTGATGTGGCAAGCAATATGCTCGCGGGAAAGAAAAAGGAACATGGAATCAGTCCGCCACTTCTCCAGCGGCCAGTTTCTATGAATCATGCCTAATGTCGGTTCAAGTTTGTCACATGCTTCACACGATGTGCGTGGTGTTTGGGCTGCCAAGGCGTTGGTGAAGCATTGGCTGAGCATCGAACAGAAACGGACTTCACAGAAGGTGCCGAAGTGCTGTCCGAAAAGCGCACGGGCGAACTTCATGTGCACGAGAACACCACTCAACCAACTCAGGCACTGAACACGAAGTCAGAATGCACTAAGTGGCACTATGTCGCTATGTCTACAAAAGACCGTCTTGAAGACTGGGAATCCGGATGTGTCGAAATTCAGGGACTTTCGACATTGGTGTCTATCACTGGACGCTTACGCCCCCCAAAAAAGCAGTTCAAAAAATGATCAACCCCCTCCACGAAGTCCGTTTCCTTCTGTTCAAGTTCGACCCAGTGAGGCTTTGGAGCTGGACCATGCCTGCCTGGTAGCTGCGGAGACCAAGCGAAATTGCCCCATCGGTGAGCGAGGACCTCTGAACACTCAAGGCTTGGCCACGTCTGGTCAGGGTGGAAGCAAAGTGAACATGATAAACCTATATAGACTTGAGAGTGAAACACCCATTCACTCCGGACTCCTCTTAACATTAAACACGAAGGAGTCTGGACCAAGAACACAATTCCGCCGAAGCCTGGCCTGGAGTCAGCCCGGCTTGAGCTGCACTCTTTGGCTTCGATTCATGAGCCTCAAATAGGAGCGACTCGTGGCATAAGGCCTTGTGGCCACCAGTTGGACTGCAGAGAGAAGTTCCGCATTCGTGTCATCTGTCTTCACATCATGAAACAAATCGACCATTGAAAACACCACTTGATGATCTTGATGATACTTGATGCCTATGCTGAATGGTTTCAGGGTTCATGTGCATCTCCTCAAAGTGGCTAGACGTTGTCGAAGCGCCACAAGGCCTTTCTGGGCCTCGACCACGAGGTCGCCAGCTGAGAGCGGCGCCTGGAAAAAAGTCAAAACCCCAAAGGCCTTGAGTCAAGCGATCAGGAAAATACGTGGATTCGCCCACCCATCGGTCGCCTCCTTTGCTGGGAAGCCTTCACTTTTGGCCAATACTAAGATGTCCCAACCTGGGCACAGGCTATCCGCAGGAAACCATAGGAAACCTATCCTCCCCCCAACTAACATAGAACAGTACCCTCCTGCGTCTAGGCCCAGCACAAGATTGGCCTGGACTATGACTATGACTAAGTCCTGTTTGAGTTATCATCTCCTCCTAGTCATGCGTGTAGCATTCAGTTATACACAGTCCAGTAGAATTGTCAGTCTTCAATGTCAGTTTGATCAGTGTTGTTTCAGTTGTATACATGCACCATCATGAATTTCAAGCTCTGGCTGAACTGAACACCCCATGAGCCCACTGGCATCGCGCCCTTTGTTCACTCTGCTGTTTCCGTGCTCCGCTGGATTCCCATGCCGGCACGGGGTGTTCAGTGGGGGTCGATAGAAAGTTTGTCCAAGCAACAAAGCTGATGCAGCAACTCCTTTTGTTCACCAACCTTGGCCAGTTCATCTTCCAAACTCCTCATCTGGCTGGATGTCACTGGTCTTTCGTCACCTAGCTGCGGCAGTGACAAGAAAGCCACGTTTGATGCATCACAAGCCGCACTATGTTTGTTGCCTTCAGCCCTGCCTTCTGGCACGGATGCCATGCTCATGCGATCCATGGTGAACCGCATTGAGGATGCACCAAAAGCATCCTTCGAGCGGCTGAAAGAATGAATGAGCCTGTATCCTTCTTACTTTGATTCCTCTGCGCTACCTGAGCGATTGCAAAGAATGTCCAAACAAGTGTAAAGAACGAGCTTTTGGTATCTTTTGGTCACATACATGTCACATCAAAAGGAACGAACGCGACTTGGTGACAAAAGCTGCCTACAATACTCACACCCTCTTCCTCTGTACAAACCTCTTCCGTGAACGACCTGAGTTTCACTCAATTGGCGTGCTTCCCAGTCAACATGGAACTCTGTGCCCTCTCAGGTCTGTTCCCTCGTAAGATGTAGGTGGCTCTCAACCGAAACAAACCTGTTAAGAACCTGAACATCTTGCAACATAAACGCACATGCGCACACATGCACAGTCCACACATTCCACGTGCACACGCGCAGGCACACCGCGGCAGTGGGCTCGGGCACGGCTCTCCACTCCCTCCCTCCCTCTCTCTCTCTCTCTCGCTCTCTCTCTCTCTCTCTCTTCTGTTTCTCTTTGTCTCTGTATTTTGTCTCTGCCTCTTTGTCTAACTCTTTGTCTCTCGGCCCGTCCATCCGTCCATCGCTGTTGCCTTGAGTACCGGCCATGTGCTTGGATCCAACGAGGAGAGGCCCCAAGACTCATCTTGCAGCCCCCTTTCGCGACGGGGAGTTGCAGGCTCCCCTGGCGTGCCAAGCTCTGCGGAGTTGGCCCTGTTGGTCAAGTGGTGTCTTGATGAAAGAATCAACAGTCCTGACCTGCCTTTACCACCACTGAGATGCCGATCCTGTTATCTGCAATCTTATTCAATGGGTGAACTGGAACTGGCTTTGTGACTAAACCTACTACTAAACCTATATCGGAAGATTCTGCCTTTTAAGGTAGACTTTTGACCCCCTGGCTTCCACGTCTTCAGCTGCCCCAGTGGCCTGATTGAAGCGTGTCCGAGGCCCAATCTCCACTGGACTGAGGCGAGTCGGTCCTTGCAGGTTTGGACGGAAAAACCATCGGCCTGGATGGAAACCTCAAACGCACTTTGAGTGAAAGCAACGACATGTCTGGCGTCAAGGAAGGGACCGATCGTCTAAACCCAGCTCCGAAGATACCCCAAAAATCTGGCATTCCAGCTTTGTTGGGGTAACTGTACAAGTGGCACTGCCAAGATTTCGATGAGCGATGCTTTTCTGAGGGCTCTCAAGCTGATAGAGAAACATCCTCCGCAGAATGGTGAGAACTGTTTCTTCTCTTAGCATCTCCAGCCATGATTGCTGAGAATTCCGACACCTCTGGGCCTGCCAGTCTCCAGAAACTCTACAGCCCATAAGGACGGCCCCAGTCGAAGACACAGCGCTTTCCATGCCAAGAGGCGAGGTCTCCGTTTGCGTCGTCGCGTCGCTCCGAGCCGAGGAGGTGCGAGCCCGGGCCGTCGCCTGCGACGCGTGGCGCGCGTGGCTGAGCTGGGCGGCTCCATGTGGCTCCGCTTGGAGCGAACGGTTTGAGCATGAATCGTTGGTGGGACGCAGTTGGAAACCTAGCTGTGCGTATCAGCCGAACAATTTGGGTGAGCCAGCCTTGCACAATAGCAAACCCAAAAGGCTGAGTTCATCTTGACATCATCACAGAGTTCTGTGATATGCCTACACGGGTGACACGTTTACTCCATGGTTATATACTAGTAGCTTCTCGTTCCTAGTAGTGATGCCAGGAGCTACTAGCTTCTTGCTGCTAGTAGCGATGCCCTTTGTTACTAGTAGCGTTTTTGCACATCGTGGGACCACCTGACCTTCCACATCCTCGCGCCCAACCTTGGAGCTCGCACCGGACTTCGGGCCTTATGGAACTGAGCGACCGGCAACTCACACCCTCGGCTGTTTCGAGCCGCAAGGTGAGCCATTCACACTGCCCGACCCTCAACTTGCCATTCTAGGCATTTCTAGGCTCACCACTGGTCCGCAGGCTTGTCCGTGCAATCTGCCGTGGCCCCATCGACGACATGGCTCTGTAGCTCTCTGTAATCCCGAGTACCTATTAAAAAACGGACCCCTATTAAAAAAGAGTCATGTCGGATCCCCTAAGTACGGCTTATATTTGTTTTTAAATTGCCGCCCTTTCAAGCCGCTACTAAACTACCAACATGGCCGATTTTGGAGGGGCTTTTCTTATTAGGTTCCAAAAACAACCGTAACTGCCCACCTCTGTCCGCCCTGTCCATCCACCATGACACTCCGCGCCTACACCAGCAGGCTTTCCTTCCCCCAATGGCACGGACTCACGCAAACGCACTTGCCACCGAGGTCATGCAACACCGCATGGCACAGCGACATCACCTTTCGAAAGCTTTAGCTGTTAGTCTACTGAAGAATTCTAATGAAGGTTTTTGTAGGGGAAAAGGAAGACCCTTCGATCTGGAGGTTTGTTGCATTTTTGATACGAGTTTAAAAAAGGATTTTAGATAAACATTTCCTGGATTACTTTTTGGTATTGAAACTCTTTCCAGGTGACCCTATTTTGGACCCCCGGATTTCAGGGACCCCCTAGTAGAAAAAATGCGACCGCGGTTTCCTTATTAGGGGGGGGGGGCCGGGTTTTTTAATAGGTGGACCGGATTAGCTCTGCAGATCCCCATGAAAGATTGACCAAAACATTGTCTAACCATGTCTAACCGCTGTCCTGGCATCTGATGCCCACGAACCGACGAGCGAGAAACCAGAATCGGGCAGTTCAATTAAATGCAGTTTTGGCACACTCGTCCGCAGAACTCGCTTTCGTTCAGTCAAGATGTAAACATGCCCTTGTGTCGCGAGCTCATCAAGGAACAGCTTGTTCAAAAGTTGGCCAGCAACATTCTGCGTATTGAAAGTTCGTGCATACACAACTCTTGCTGCAAATTTCCGGCCCATCACTCGACTTTTTCAACTCTGCCAGCAAAGGCGTCGCAGTCACAGTCATTAATCATGAAGCCGTGAGCGAAGTGGAAACTAAACAACGATCAAACTGATCAAACCATGCAAAACAATGCACCTATGCAAACGAGGTGTAAGCAACACGGCATACATCCTTGGTGAGTTATACCAGTTGGCCAGCATTCATTTGCGGCCCAGGGCATTGCCATGGTCTGGTAGCTTGCAATGGTAGATTGATTAATGAATATATACTGTGAAGGAAGAATCATGAATCTGAATAATTCTAAGTTTAGGTGAAATGAGGTGAATATGACGACGTGACAAGATCGCATGGCCTTTTCATTGGGAGGCATGCTTGGAAGTTTTTTTGGTGCCACAATGACAAGGAAACTCTGTCTTTGAACATAGTAGCCGCAGCATCGTCGAAGGGGCTGTCTCTCACTCTGTTCCCTGTGCCATTTTCAGTTTGAGATGCAACATCCTGCCGGAAGACATGCACTGGTCAGTTTGAGATATGTTCTTAGCACAGGTATTCACTGGCTGAATTTTCCCCCAGTTATGGCCAACGTGATGTGAATGAGACACATGATGCAGGTGGAATTCCAAGTTCTGCAAGTGACATCAGGTGATGCTCTACGATGTTTTTCTGATGAAACACCCGTCTCTCAAAGTTGCCAGCAGCGATGTCTTTTGCACATGCGACAACGTTCGCTCGACCTCTAATCATGGCGCAGTTGCCAGAAGCCCAGCCCAGGAGTCACGGCAGCATTCTTCAGATGGTGACCGTGAGAATCTGACACATGAAGCCAGAAAGCTCCAAAACATGTTGTTGTTGTTGTTTTCCTTTTTTGGGGGGGGAAGGCCGTTAGAGGTAGGGCTAGTAGGTAGAAGTAGCTACTACCTAGGGACGCAGGATAGCTCACGCTTCTTCAACGAAGCTTCGCCCGCCGCCCTAAAGGCGGCGGGGTAAGTTTCCTTGAAGAAGCGCTCGCACTAATGATTTGGTTTCTAGATTAGTAGGGACACTTATTCACATTGACATTCTCTCTTCTGTCCCTTATTTTGACCACTAGCGGCGGTGCTGATCATAGCAACACATTGTGCTGGATGGATTCCTTTCTATGCACCGACGCTTTTTCTATCTCCAGTTTTAAGCAGCAAGAGTTGAGCTGAAGGGCCATGTTCCAACGAAGCCAAAGCAAAGCCAAAACACCGCAACCCCTCTTTTCGAGACATACATCACTTCAAGAACATATTAAAAACTATAGCAAACTGGGACCTACAAACATACAGGCCTTGCTTAGGTGCAAGTCTCTGTGCAAGTCCAATCATCTGCAACATTTGACATCGTCAACAGCGTGAAGTCATTTCCTATACAAGGAACTTATACATTTGCTGTCTTATAATGTCCAACGTGACAAGTTCCGAAACACGCAAATAATCAAAGAAGCGATGACACGGCCAGCCCATGCTAGCCCATCATTGACGTGCGCGACAAAGCCAGTCCATCCCTGAGGACTAAGGCACAAACACTATGGCACTATGGACACTAACCGGCATGATGCCATGCATGACCAAAAAAAAACAATAGCCAGCAAAGCACCTTGGCAAAGAAAAAATCATGAAGTATGTCGCAAGAACATCAAGGAGACAGCCAAACTGCCCATCACATGAAAAACAAGCTTAAATGGTGGAAACCCTGCCAGCGCAGCTTCCATCACAGATCGTAGACACCGTCCCTCAAAAATGATGAAAAACAATCCCAAACCTGCCAGTGCAGATCGTAGAAATCATCCCTCCCATGTGAGCTGATGACCCTTAATTATCAGCTCTGATCCAGCGGCTCTTTTCACATGAGCTCAGGCGATTTCTCGCCGGTGATCGAGGTCTTTAAGGCTGCGTCAAGCGGCGAGAACCCCCAAGCTGCACTGATCGGATCGATGTGGTGTTATTGGACTCTTTCACGACCCAAAAAAAACAACATAACACCACACAACAAAAAGTAAAGAGTCCAATTGGTCCCTGGTCCCAAGACCCAGCAGCGGACACCTTCCAGGATTGGGCCGATTAGTTGTGAAGTCACATGCCGCCCCCCCCGAAGGCTGAGGAAGTGAAGTCACATGGCTGCCGATTTGGGCGAAGTGATCCAGCTGCTTTAGGGACATCCTTCGGTTTGCGAGAAGTCTCATACAGCTTCGCAGCTCAAGAGCATCAAGGTCACTTGGCTCTGACGCCAACGTGCGAATTTGCATCATCCAGGTCTGGGAAATGCAAGCAAAACAAGGATATTCTCTACCCTCGATGGCTTCCTGAACCCCGTATCCTTGTAAGTTGAGCCCTTCACCCCCTCCCCCCCAAAAAGGTAGAACCAGCACATCAAATCAAGGAAGTGACTGTATGTTTCAAGGCAGCTCCTTTCAGAATCAGGCCCTGTTTCGGCCCCTTGTTCAAGCCAAAGCGGTCCGATTTTTGGAGCTCATCTCCTTGGCCTGGCTACTTGGAAAACTCCAACAAAACCTCCAAAACAAAGGGCTCGGGGCGAGAACCGCCGTTGGTGCGGCGCATTTGATGCTCCCGCTGAATGGAAATCTGACTGTAAGTACTCATTTTGTCCTTTTGGCAAGCCTCACCAGAATCAACCAATTAGGACGCTGATTCACTGATGGAGTTGCCAGTATAACTTTGGGGTTCCAATGCAGTCTTTATCGGCTGCGGACGGTACACTACGAACCGACGTTTAGGGAACACCTGTGCTGGATACACATTGAACTGATTCTTGAAAGTTCTTTTCCAGCCCTTTGTTCCAGGAGTTGGGTGCCGAATTCCAGTAGGCTCAGATGCCCAGTGCTGCTCTTTGTGCCAGTGCCTGGGCAGAGCTCAACAAGACATTCTGGATGCCAAATCCATCACAGCACAATTCCTGCAAGACACTAATGCTATCTAATATCTATTATATATATATATATATTTATAAAATATATTATATATAGTTATACGTCACTAGGGTCACCCAGCAGTATAGCAGTGTACCAAACAGGCCCCCCAGACCCAAATCAAATCGCAGTGTATCTCACCATTTGCATGTGGCCAGCTGTAGGTGCTTTGACACGACCTCACCATATCTCTCGAATCCACAACGACATGAAGCGAAAACTGCTCCCACCATGCCTGAATCTCTCCAACAGCCTGCCAGCGAATAGTGGAGTCTAGAACTCCAATGTCCAAGGCACAGCTGAAGCTGAAGCCTACAGGTTGTCTCGAAAAGGTCTTGGATCTTTATCCATCATCTATCCCTGCAACTCGAGTCGGCTCAACAAGCTTTGCTGAAGCCACTGCATGCGTTTAGATCAGTGGCCTTTCGTCCCAAAGCAGCGATGTCAGGATCGCCCATCTTCATCGCGTTGCCCACCTAAGTATTTTGCCCCCAGGGATAGCCATAGCCCCGTGCCTATCCCACCCACACACACACACACACCGCGGTTCATCAGTGAACCTGAGCCAACGAAGCCCTTTCCACTCCACCTTCGCAAACAGCCTTTCCAAAAGGGGTATGGATGGCGACATCTTGATTGGATCTCAACGAAGGGACTCCGCTTGGGGCAAATTGAGATGTTGGTCAACCGCAAGTAGCCGCCATCACCTAAGGACCGAATGCCTGACCATGTCTCAGTGCGCTGCGACGATCACAGGCAGCTGCGACGATCATGGGGCCCTGACATCCTTTCCAACTTTGCAAGTCTTCACCGCATCATATGTGACTTTGCTCTCCTGCGGGCCCGCAGGATCCCGTAGGGATCCCGTAGGGCCTGGTGAAAGGCACCAAAATAAAACCCAACAAGACATGGGAGGGGGATCATGTGGACTAGGTGGCAGGGTTGCCCTATTCTGATGCACCCGTATGGCCCACATCTGAAGTAGTCTCCGAGGATGCAATGAAAACTAGTGCGAAGACATCTGGCATCATCGAGCGCTTCGCATCAGCCTTCCATGTAGACGTGCGAAGCCTTCTAGTTACATGCGCACGGCACAGAAAGCAAGTTCATACTTTTGTCGTACCCTGGGGTCATTTGCATTCATTTGCATAGGCATGGAATGTGGAGGACGTGGGAGGAGGCACAAACATGTTACAATTGCCTGGCAGTGTCCTAGTATTATATACATTTAATGTTATGATCATATAATAGCTGAAGGATGCTGAAGGTCCGAGAATGGATTTGAATTCGTTCTACCGGACTCTCACAAACGTTTTCACCTCATCCTCCCCTTCACCTGACGGCACCTGACGGCACCTGTGCTCGCGTCCTTGAACATCCCTAGCAATGCTTCAAGGATCTCGCTAACCTTGGGCTTGTCACCTGACAGCTGGTGCCCCGAGGCAATCAATGGCGATCGATAAGCCACTAGTGGTGTAAGGCCAGGAGCCCCGATGGTAGCGTCCGTGCTCCGTTCGTAGCGATGCACTTTGTTACTAGTACAAGTAGTGTCCTTGTTCCTAGGCAAAATGAGAAACGTCAAGCTGCCACATTTTATCCATCACTTCTACCGTGCGAGAGAAGGCAGCCTTGTTAGAGACGATGTGAGCTGCACTGGTCAGCGCACCAAGGACCAAGGAGCTGTCCGACTCCAGCACGGATTTCTTGAGTTTAAAGTACGTATGTCCGGACAAATGCGCGATGTTTCGGAAGTATCCGGCAGCCAAATGTTCTTGGTCCAAGATTTCCACCACGGCACTTTGTGGATACATCCACATGGAGTGGATGAGTCCAGCCCCATGCACCCCTACCAGGATATCGCACATGTAAATCTTGGCCACTTGCTCCTTGATTGGCACCAAGTAGGTCAAGTTAAGATAGTGGAAGCCCAAAGGCTGCTTATCCAACAAGACTTTGTTGGTTGCCTGTCTCAAACGACCAATGCTGGCATCACTCAACTCTCTCGTCGAGCCCGGCCGGGCCATGTAGCAAACACTCCGCCCAGTGGCTCGGGTGACATACTCCGACTGACGCACACCAACGCCCGCGAAGGCCGCCGCTTGGAAGTCAAGCCAAAGATCGGATCGCACGCACAGGAGGCGAAGGTCCCAGGCCAAGTCCCAAAGAAAACCATTCCATGGAGCAATGATACGATGTTCAAAGCCACAGTCTTTGGAAGTTGTAGTTCCAAGGAGGTGCCACTGATATGGTCCCTTGTCAGTCTTCACATTCGCCAGCGGGGATTCCTCGACATAGTAGTAAATGGTGACATAATCTCCCAGCACCTTTTTGAGTTGTAAAACTCTGGGAGTGACCCAAGCCTCAAAAATTGCAGTCATTCGATGCCAAATATTCGGACTGAAACGGTCAGCGCTTTGCACCACGACTACGGCAGTGCCCTCTTGCACAGCGCCACCCTTCTCGCAAGGCTCACCACGAGACCATTCAGCGAATTCCTCCCTTCGCTCGCCTCCTCCACGCTGGATGTTCCACTCGATGTATGAGCCACTCGACCGGGAGACCTTCCAAAAACTGGCCACCCCAGACCAGGTCCAGTGGGGATTGCACAAGGCAGAGCTGTTATCTTTCCTCCTTTCTGGAAGATCCATTTGAAGGACTGGACCCAAATGAGGTTCTGCCTTTGTGTCCTTCGGCGCGATGGTCTGAGATACGTTCTGAGTCTGAGATGGCCTTTGGCGGGAGACCTCCAGAAACAATGGGCTGGTGCAAGGCAGTGTTCCCCACAAGCTACCCACACTTTGGAGTGTCAAACACAGTGTGCCGGTCAAACAGCAACAGCACGCACAGCTAAGGATCCAATAGTCTGGAGGCTTTGTTCCTGGATGCATTTCTTTTGACTTGGAGGTGGTTTTGCTTCTTGGGACTCAGCTCCGCTGATCATCACCATGAGTCCCTCAAATCAAGCCATTCAAGTTCCTGGAGCCAAAGCAACTATACAATACTATACACATGATCACTCTTGACCAATGAAACACCTTTAGCATCGCCACACCTTTTCACCCATGCGGGTCCCTTTAGCTTCTCGGTCAGAGACTCTAGTTGCACGAAATCCCCCCAAAACCGACCTGGATCCGTCGCTGTGTCGCTTGTGGTGCCTGCAGTCACAGCCTGCTGCAAATCCTTCTGCAGCTCCTGGGGGCACACGGATGGCTACGCGGACATGGCCACACGGCCAAGCAAACGGTACCACATGGCCCCACGGCAGTCAAGCACCTCCCATCTGTGAACTGCTGTGTCAGCAGCGATGTAGAGTATAAGCTCGTAAATCCAAAAGGATGTACCGGACGTCTCCACGTTGTTTTTGTTTTTTTGTGGATTGCTGTTGGATCTGTTGGCTGGTTCATTGCATGCTCCTTCCGGTGTCCGCGTTGTAACCTCTCGATGAAGCCAAGTATTTGGTGAACATCGTTCCGGGCCTCCACAGTGCCAGCACCTTGCTTCAGCGACAGGTCGTTCTCTAAGCGGTTGATCCTGGCCATGTTTGTTCTTGGTAATTCTCCGTGAGCTACTTGCGGAATAGAGTTTGTACTTGCAACAGGCTAGCACAATGACTCAGAATAACCCAACAGTGGTTGGGGTGGCAGCTCTTGAAATGTCCAAAATCGGGAAGGTTTGGAGCACAGTGCCCATGCCGCAGCTTCTTCAAGAGTACAACCCACTGATTTGTATCCTTTCAGGAATGTCAGTCAAATCGCCACAAGTTGACCCTGGGGGCATACTACTATCTTTATGATTCTTTATGTTGCCAAGTGCCAAGTCTCTTGGTCGCATGGTGGGGGGGTTCGGGCATCCCACACGAGAACATGACCATCATGGCAATCTGCGACTTCTTTTGAACCGCCGTCGACATCGTCGACTGTCGCTCATGGCTGCCGACGCGACACTGATGGCCGTTGTGGCCGTTGTTCGACGAAGTCGGGTGAACTTCTTCACTTCGATGTGAGTTTTCGTACTTCGAAGCAGCATTCTGGCCCTTTTCAGGTTTTGGCGGGTTCTCTTTTGGAGTTGTCTTTTGATGGCTCGATAGCGATGTCTGTAGAAACCATTGCATTTCAAAGTCAAAGCAAGGTTTCAACTGGAGTAGCATCTTTGAAGTGCTCAGACCGAGACCTCCCAAAAAGTGGATGTCTCAGTCAAACCTTGAAAGAGATGCCAGAAATCAGGACCGTGACGTTGAGAACTTTGCCCATCGCGCATGCTGGAACCAATCCAATCAGCCTAACCAAACTCTCGCCTTTTGGATGTGTACATCCTGATGTATACATCTAGATTTTGCGTTGTATATATATTTTATATATATACATTTAAAAATGTGCACACGACATATGCGTACACATCATGTTCTGTCTATAGTTCTATATTTCATGTTTTCCGGGTCGGATTATATGTCAAATATTGTCAAATCAAGTCAACTCCAAGCTACTCAAGCGTTGTGACTTTGCTTGACCAACCGCGGTGCCCCCAAAAACAAACAGAACAGTGCTGAGAGCTTGATGGATGACGCATCGTCAGCCCAATGTGCGTATTCCGAGGTGGTTGAGAGCTGGATCATCAAGTAGGGCTTCAACAGTTTGCACCTTGACATCCTCCCCATCCCCATCCATCTCCTTGTTTCCAGGCGTAGTTGAAAGTTGAAACTGAAGGGAAAACATCAAAGGCAACCTCAAAACCCTCCCAAATGCATCCTTTTTTCCCGAGTTATCCGCAAGCATCTTCAAGTTTGATGTTCATCATTTTGGCCCTTGGTCATTCTGTGTACATTCGACTTATCAGCTTCAACCTCCGCCGGGGGCTTCAAAGACGTCGAGAATGGAACGCCACCGGTGCCACCAGTCGAATGACTTGCCGGCTGAACTTTGGAAATGATCTGTTCCTGGCAGTGTCTGGTATCTTCCAGAACTAAACTAGGGTAGCAAATTCCAAGAAATACCTGATCATTAAGGTATTCGGCTTAAACAAGTCTAAGCTAGCTCTCTCGCTCTCGCGCTCGCTTTCGCGCTCTCGCTCTCGCGCTCTCTCTCTCTCTCTCCCCCTCTCCTCTCTCCTCTCTCTGTGCCTATCTTGCTCTGTGATGTTTTTTCTGAAAGTTTCCAGTAGTTTCCATCCTCAAGCGGACATGCCACGATTTGGACATGCAACACTGGCGATGCACCCCGCTTTCGGATGCACCTGCTTGGGCGATGCCTAACTGCCTAGGCAGCCAGCTGCCACCAAGCTTCTGTTAAAACTGCCGGAACTCAACCGTGTTTAGCCTGACAGGCAGGTGTACCACTCCTGGGTCCTAGTAGGTCCTAGCAAAGGGCCCGACATTCAGAAACAACGAGCAATTAAAACCTGTCCGCGGGCACTCTGCATAGGAGTAGCACTGCACAAGCTTCTGATTGCATTGACACAGCAGCCGTGGTCACTTGTGGCAAGGGGAGTGGAAGGGCTACCACAAGAGTCGTCGCCGCTGACATCAAACGGCCCACGGCCATGAAGGCTACTGTACTCTTCAACGATTCAGGCGCATCTGGCCAGGGTCTGCTACCGGAAGTCTGGTGTTGGCTGAAAAAATCCTGCAGCTTATGTCCTGCCACCTCTGTGCTTGACCATCTGCGAATCTAAAACATTCTAGAACAAAGTAACTACAGTATGCAACAAAAACACTATAGACTATAGATTAAAAAACATATTAAATTGTAGTAATGCAGTAAAGCAAACAAACACCTGCTTGAAGTTCAAGGCAGGACACCCCTATCAGCATGAACGTACTGATAGTACTGGTAGCACTTACTGGACCTCAGAAACTTCTTATAATACCAATGACTCATGACTGCAGTGACTGAGTGCATAACAAACTCAGAACAGCTTCCCCAGTGGCGCAGCGATGAACCCTCTGCAGCGGAACGGTTCTGCTGAAAGGATGAGCGCACGGGCCACAGGACTCCAAAGGACTGGTTATGACAAGTTGTGCTCATGATTTTTTCTCGTGGAAATTCGTGACATGCCCAGACCGGGTGTGCGCAAAGTCATTTGCTCTGGTCACATTCAACCAAGCTCCTCAGCAAAACTGCCCGTCGAACACGAGCAAATCAAGGAATCCCCTTAGCAAACAAAGGACAACTTTGAGTTGAGCAATCCTGAGGTCTGATACAACTACCTTCATCACGTCATCATGAAATCTGGATTATATAATGCAAACCAAGTCGCACCCACCCCATATATAATAATGCTCTCAATGATTTGGAATAACCTCAGAAAAATACTGCCGCCGGTATTCCAAGTTTCGACTGCGCGTTCAACTATACAAAGGAGCACTACCAGGCTGAGTCTAAGTTTAACTCTCAGGCTGTTCTCCTAACAAATTCCAACCATAGTGGCAGGGTTGCCAGTTTTTTGGCAGCAGGATGCTGCAAGTATTCTATCACCACCTGGTGCCAGAACAGCCGGCATCCAAGAAGTCCGCTGAGTGGCAAATAGGTGCCGAATGGCGAGCTGGCTGCGATTCCACTCTGCATTGCGGTGGGCTGAGCCGAAAGGTCAACCTCCTTATCTGCTAGGCCACTCACTTCCTGAGCACAACATCGAAGGACGAATAACCTGTCCGCGACATTTGTCACTTCAAACGCCACAGGATTTGTCGTGATCTGCTCTTGTTCACAGTTCCTTTGACTCAATTCAAGTGGACATGCTGTTGTTTGGTTCCCCTTGGGTTTACATACTGTTGTTTGGGTTTACACACCTTCCAAAACAGTACGCACCGGATTTCGGGAATTGGCATCTCCAAAAAATACGGAAGACCACATCAGTTCAGCCCCAGGCTGCCCCAAAAACCCTTGACTGTCAACTTCAATTTGCTGCAGGACGATGCGAAGTTGTCCCCTCGAATGTCCCGATCAAAACATAAAGAGAATACTTGACCCTAGTGGCAGTTTTGATTGATTGATGCGAGGAGTGCAGCATGTAGCGAAGCAAGCGGCCAGCACTGCATTTAACATGGGCATCTCGTGTTGTGTTGTGCCCCGCCCAGGTTGGGGAGCAAAGGAACTTGACGGTTTCAGTGGGCAACCTATCTTGGTGCAAACTTGCAGGCATGACCTATTCCAATTCCAAGAGTCATTAGCACCTGTCATTGGCATATTTTGGCTAAACATCCGCATGGCTCCCTTTTGAAACAAAGCACATCATCGTCACGTTAGTTGAATGCTCAGTGTCCTTCAGCATGCGAAGCATTCCTCATGGGAAGGCTGCAAGCCCTTCGAGTTCACAAAACACCGTAGGACTGGCCTAACCACTGCCGTCTGCCGCCGAGTCTCGACGTGGCCATGGCAGCGGCCTGGCCACGGAGGGGCGGCGGCAGAAAGGAGGGGTCAGTTTGGTCCCATCTACGAGTATACCTATTGGTGGTACACTTGGCGTATCAACCAACCATAGTAAAAGACCATCTATGCGCCAGGATACCAAAACCTGTTGAAAGGTGGAAGGTCAATACCTTGCAGGTAGTGGAATGTTGCTAATTACAAGAATCTACCTGTTCCCTGCAACGAATCATGGTAAAACAATGATTGGGGGGAGCGTACTCACGCGAACTCCCCACACTCAACCAATGTCACAAACCACCCTGCCGACAAAAAAAAACTTTCAACCTTTCCGCAAGGGTCCACTTCAATCTTGCTCAAAGACACCGCAAAAGAATCCGCAAGAACAAATAAAGCATCTTGAACGTATCCAGCCAAAATCCAAGCTGCTGTGAGGCAAACTCATACGAAGCATAAGCCAGGCCCGACTTTGCAACCAAGCTGCCATTACTTGAGGCACTTGATGGTGCATCATCTCCCTCGGTGCATGGGCGTGCATGGGTTGACTGAGGTCCTTCTCAGAAATTGGCCGGTGGGCTAGGGTTTTCCTCTCCGAAAGCTTCCCATCAAACCCTGAAGACTCACCTCCTGCCGATCCTCGCTCTTCCCCCTGGCCGGTTTCGGCCTCCCCCAGGCACCGGAGACGTGGACCATGTCAACGACGACGACGTGGTCCGAAAGAGTCCGAGGTCGCACTGAACATCGGACGAAATGAACCACGCAGATTCCTTCGAAGGAATGAACCACCCAAACCGACCCAAACAGCAGAAGGAACGAGATGAGTCATGAAACAAAGTGGACCCATCTGTGCTGGCGAACGTGAGAGCCCAGCACCGCCTGTTCCCCCACTTTGGCACACTCCAAATCCAGGGTACGGCCACACTTTGGCAATATCGCCCTGCTCGGCCTCGGCGTAACTGCTCGCCACTTACGGCTTGGAAAAGTGGGGTCTTCTGGTAGTGAGTCAAACGGTTCCTTCAAAAGGTGGTTGGTGAATGCCCTGGGAATGCCTCTCATGAAAAAAGACCTCTGTGTGTGTACATACTACCATGGTCCACCCTGGATTCAGACCCACTCTGCCGTGTATCCCCATGAGCCACATACAGTATATGCATGGTTTAAGAACATGAA